TCAAATGTCTAACATGAAACATACTATTTGTCAGTAATCTTAACCCTCAAGGAAACCCAGAGTGCACCATTTCAAGTACATTACTCAAGTTCCTTTATTAGGATCACCCCAGGTCCTGTTATTTATTAACACAGTATGTCCAAAATTATTGCTGTTGGGGTCATCTGGAATAATCTGAGAAGTAGAAGGTCTTTGTTCTTGCTCCCTGGCCTACATCCTCCGCTGAATAGAGTCGCTGAGCCCCCAGCTCAAGCCTCATCTGATCCACTGAGAAGCTTAATTTTGTCCTATTTAGGTAAAGGGTGGACCTGTCTCCCTCCTAGGAGGAGCTGTGGGCTTCTGCATCCAGGACTGGATCCCCAGGACCAGGCAGTGTGGCTGGAGTAAGCCAGTCCTCAGCAGGGAAGACACAGGCTGCCTGGGTGGCCATGGCATAGAAGGTCTGCACCATGTTGCACAGAGGCCCTGGAGTTGGGTGAGCTCAGAGACCTGCTCCCAGGTCAGTGGAGAGTGTACCTGCTGTGCCCACACCTGGGTTATGTCCTGATAAATGGCTTCAGACATAGCACGCAGGGAGTTTACCAGACTTTTCTGAAGTGGTGGTGACTGGTCTCTTGGGGAAAGAGATCTGGACCACTTGCTGTGCCCAATGCGGGCCTTCACCTGTCGCCTATGACTGACATCATGGGTCTCCTCCACTTCACTGCTGTATACAGCAGCAGAGGTTTTCGGTTTCTTTCCAAAAGTCAAGCCGTGCTCATCTTCTAGACAGTTCCCTATTGAGGAAGCACGTGAGTGAGAGACTTTCCAGATCATTTCCCATGGACTCTCATTCTGAAACCTCCCCCTGCCCCTTCAGGGGAACCCCACTTTTCTCCTTTTCCATGACACCCTCAACCTTTACAATAAAGCAAGGTTGAAAACCTCTTGGTTCCCAAAAGTTTTCGGAATGCCAGGATCTCTAAAATCATTTTAGCCACTGAAAAACCCCCTTCCTGGCCAAACCCTCTATAAGTTACCTGCCTTTTGGGGCCAAAAAAAAAAAAAAACCAAAAAAAAAAAAAACAAGCAAATCCTACCTGTTCTATCATGGCAGCTGTCCTTGGAACTCATTTTTTTCTTCTTGGATTTCCTCCCACCTGAACTGGCCTCTGATTCTGTGGATAAAATGAGAATTTGAGTGAGTGCCTCCAACTGAACACCTTAGAAGCCTTAGTCCATCCTGGACACACAGGAGCTGAGGTTTTCACCAAAACTTGATTCTTATTTATTCTCCTGAGTCCAGGATTGGAGAGGCTTCCAGTTTCCTTCCCAGGGGAGACTGTGTTAACTCGTTCGCTGTCCCTTCTCACCTGGAAAGCATCAAATCTTACCTGATCTAGCAATGCTGTTTCTGGCTTTGGGCTTAGTTTCCTTGGAATTCTCCTCCTCATTTGGCCTGGGCTCTGATTCTAGTGTAAAAGAGAGTTTAAGTGACTCATCTCTCCCTAGGCAAAAAGCACCATAGTCTCCCTCTGACCCATATTTGTGAGTCATTCTCTTAACTGAGGCTGTTAAGCCCGTGTCAAGAGTGAATAGCAAGATTCCAGGGGCTGGGTGTGGTGTCTGATGCCTGTAATCCTAGAACTCTGGGAGGCTGAGACGGGTGGATTGTTTGAGTTCAGGAGTTCAAGACCAGCCTGAGCACGAGCGAGACCCCGTCTATACTAAAAATAGAAA